TAACGAGCCCGGAAAAACCCGTAGAACATGTGCCCTTGCACAAAGGGCCTCCACAGTACCAGCTTTGGTGCATCGATGTGGCGTCAAAGTTGTGCAAAATGAATGTGATTGACGGCATCCCTTCGAGCAATTTTGGAAACCAGACAAATAAATGAAGTGAACTCAGTGTTTTTTCTTGGCTTCTCTCCAAAGTCAAGTGTGGCTTTCTGCTCCTTTCTGTCAAAAGACGTTTTGTTTGCTTCCAGTTTTTTCGCATTGTTTTCATGGTTTTCACTTTGTTCCACCTGAAAGGAACACGTGTGGTGTGACTTCCCTTTTCGTTTGGCGGAGAAGGTATTTTTTCTTTTTTCTTCGCTTTCTCCGACTGGGTTGAACCTGAGCTCTGATCGGGTTTCCTCTCCCCTCCAACCTTTAGAGTTGAACGTGCATTGAAGCTGGCTTTGATACCCCTCCCTGCCCTTGCTCTTCACCGCTTGCTTGCCGGTCTCACCCACTATTGCCAGCTAGGCTGGTTGACTTGCAAGTCAACTCCAGTTGCTTGTCGTGCAAGCGTCTCACGTTCATGCTGCCGGTACCACCACGGCAGCAATTTTTTTACTGCTGCGCTGCACCTGCTCTCCAAAGCGACAGGCCGCATTTCTTTCGCGTGAGACGGAACTCATCGAATTTGAAGCGTTTGTGAAGTTCTTGTTGCTGCCAGATGTAAGCAACTGGTGTCCGGCTTCCCGACCTTCAAACCTTTCTGTGCCATCTGCTCCCACGCACGGCAGCGATATGTGTTTTTGCATGACGTGCACCGGAATCTTCCCTTCCCACTTGAAGAAACGAACGGTGTTCTCATTCCAACCTCTTTGCTAGTCTACTAGTCTGCTAGTCATCTTTGGGCGAGAAATGGACCTTCCATCTGCAGCTTGATCTTCATGCCTGATTCTTTGCCCCGGAGGCACGGTGTTGGTTTGGACGATGTTTGGTGCATACGATAGTGTCGCAAACATGTATACAAGCATCTTCGCATGTTGAGGCACCAGCGGTCTCTGGTCATGACATGAGCATCCGTCAAAACTTCGTAATTGTAGTTAAGACATGTTAAGACTAGGGTGACCGTGGAATGCCGGATTTTGCTAATTTCCTTGGAAAGCGATAGGACCCCCCCAAAAGCGATAAGATCAACAAAGATCATCTGTTCTGACATGTCAGTGCTGCCGCGGCATGTATGGCATAATTTTCCGTGTGATATGTGGCTAGGCAATCGATGCCGTAATCGTTACCCTAATCGATACCCACTAGTTCGTTTCGTGACCCACTGCCCGTTCTGATGGATAAAGGGTAGTATAGGGCAGGTAAAGGGCAGCAGAGGGCAGTAAAGGGCAGGAAAAGGGCAGTAAAGGGCAGCACCGGGCAGTAAAGGGGCAGGTAAAGGGCAGCAAAGGGGAGGGCAAGCTACGAATAGGATCAGTGAGTCTGATGGTCTTCTTACATTCACAAGAGCAAAGCGATACCTCACAGAAACATGTGACGAAATGATTGTAAAGCGATAGGACCCCCCAAATCATCCATGGTCTGGCCATGAATAAGAAGTTTTGACGAACGCTCACATAACACCATGCATGCATGTGTTTGGTGGGTTGGATGGGTGTGTTCGGCTATGTGGCCACATCCGATATTGTGCGCAGGGCGGTGTGTATTTTGTGACATGGTGTTCCCGCCTCCCTAAATCGTACTCTCGGCACGTCACCGTGAACATTTTGGCCGCGACTCGCCTGTCCATATCCAGAACATACTCGGGACAGTTCCGTGCAGGTTTCGGGGTGTGACTCTGCTGCCACAGTGCGCTGCATGTTGTGGGAGTGTGTTGTACATCTTCGGCCCATGGGATCTCGGGAGCCTCAGATTGTTGGAGTTCTTGGGCCTGCAGGGTCTGGAATGCTGTGCTCTTCCATTCTACGCTGGCATAAAAGCTGATCGTGCCTCGTGACATTGGGAATGAATGTTGTTGTGCCAATGATTGAAAGTAGCCTTCTTCAGCTCGAACCCTTCTGCGAGCTGACCAGCTTACTGTCAACTGGCGATCTGCGTTTCGCAGGGCGTGGCCCGGTTCAACTTGGCAGCGCACTGTGGAACTCAGCACAATCTCCTGCACCGTAAGTGCCCGAGGACCAGTTGTTTATCCGATACGAGTCACGCACTTGGTTACTAACTTGTCTCAGGCTCAGCAACGTGAGGGGAGATCACCAGCCTTTGGAACATGTGGCATGAAAGTTCCGGGGGTCGACGGTATGATTGTTTGTTTGTGCCAAGGTCCTGATGTCGCCGCCGTGTCATTCATTGGGCAACGACTGTACAGGACAGTGTTGTTGTCAGCTATCTGCTGTGAGATGTGTGCGGTTGACATGGTTGCCATGGAGCAGGTGAATCCAATCCATATTGTGAAGAACTCACCCGACGGCACGACGCTGCTAATCAGGCACAAAGGTGCCAAAAAACGTATTGCTTGTGGATGCTTGTCTTGGCATGGACAGGGTGTGCATGGCCATGCAGGAGTCAAGAGGCCTGCAGACAGAGGAAGTGAAGGGCCGTCTGATGCTATGCACTCTTGCATTACTTCCGGCATGGCAGGTACCATGGCCTTTGTCTTTGTGCCTGCATGTTGCTTGTCAGCTCCTCAGTTGCGAATGTTTGACGGGTCAAATCACTGCACTTGGCTGCCAGTTCGTTCGGACCGAGGGGATGTACTACCAGTCGCCGGCTGCAGGTGCAAATCGCCAGGCAGCAAACAGCATCAAATTGACAGTGCCTCAGGGCGTCTTGTATTTTGCCAATGCCAGGCGACATCCATCGATGAAGTTGGTTTTTCAGCAGCTGCGACACCCGTCACTCGCTTGGCAGATTTTTTATCAAGACATGACCCTCATGGTTGACTTGCAACTCCAGACCATGTCAGTGGAGCACAGACGGCGCTGCACACGAATTACTCAGGATCTTGCCATTTCTCCCATGCAGGTGGACGGCAGTCACGAAGTTGCACTCGCACAGTTTCAGCAGTGTGCAGGTCTTGTTGAGTGTCCGGCAGCGTATCGCTTCTGCGGCCAGATGCTAAGTCTGAAAGCGTCTCCGGTCCAGTTCTTGTCCCTGTGGTCCACAAGGCTCTGCGGTCAACCAGCGTTCCTTCATGCACTGAGAAACAACGTCCACAGGCTGGGCCTGTCAGGAAGCATATGCCTGATGGGCCCCTGGTCCAAAGAGCGTAGCCATACAAGCAGTTGTTCAAGTAGGCAAGTCAGAAAACTGGCTGCGTCTGCTTGCACTGTTGGGCGGTTGGCTGAATCTGATGCATGCTGGAAGGTTTTGGACCGTGCGGCGACCCTGTGTTCCTTAGTTGCATCGGCGCACGTGTGGTGGGTTCCCGCACATAGGAAGACAAATCGAAATCACAATCATTACCGCCAGGTTCCTTGGACTTGGACGAGGAAGCACCATACATATCCCCCAACGAGACAGTGTCTTTGCTCTCGTCCCAGCTTACAATAAGCAGTGGAAGATGGATGGATGAGACTCAAATCTGGTATGCAGCTTGAAACAGGAATCAGTCGGTCATGGAAGATGGGAGAGCAGCTGCCGGCACGGTTTGAGGGTTCACTGTGCTCACAGAAGAAACGAGTGCACAGAGCGCGCTGTACGTGTCGAGCATGCCAGGATTCTCACTTTCCTGGCAATGTGCCTGAGGGCCACATCACATTGAACCTAGAAAGATCCGAGCAGGACAGTGCATTCGTGGCCATGGTAGCCACATCTCGTTAGTAAGAGACTTGTGCACAGTGGCCTTGCTCGAACTACCATGTTTGTGGATGCTGAATTGCCGACACTGGAAAATGTGTGTCGCGAGGAGATTGACATCATCAACGACGTGGTACACTACAAGAGTGCGTACTATGGCACCATCATGGTCGGCAATCCGCCTTGCTCCAAGATCGAGAGTCCCAGTCATGCCGAAGAGTTCACTTGCATGATTCGTGTGCCTAATATGTACTGAGGATGACTGTTGTTCATCCTTTATCCTGATGCTTGATCATGAGTCAACGGCTCTGGTGTCGCCTATTGGCGATGAGATGACAGTCGTTAGCTGTTGTTTTTCAAAGGCAACCTGCAACAACCCTGCTATCCTGAAGTCACCAACGTCGTCTGCCCTCTTTCGGGCATCCCTGCTGAAGAACAGCAAGTCGCATCCAGAGACGGGTTTTCCGCCATCGAGAGCATCTGACACGTTTAGGAGACAACTCAACCGAATGGCTGCGATGCACTCCTAAATCACTCAATTGTCTCGCATCGAGGCGCCCTCCCGGACACGGACTTTGCAGCTGAAACTTTCTGCGCATTGTGGGTAGGCTCTCTGCACATCACCTCTTTTTAAACACCACATGCAGCTAACTCGGTCCTCCTCGCCCTTCCAGCTGTACGTAGGCGAAACGTCTTGGACATTTTGGAGACGTTTGGTTTCGTTGGCCTTTCCAGGCCGTTCGACTAGACTAAGCTCACTCACAAGCCTTCTTACGAATCCGAAAGGTGATTACCCTGGCCGTCCATTGAACGATCCATTGGAGGATATCTCCCCCAGCCAATCTGGCCGACACAACGCACGTGCTCTTGCATCTGCCAACTCATCTGCCTTCTGGTTTCCAAACCAGTGTATTCTGTCCTCAAACGAAGGTCTCAATGACTCTTGACTCTTGACTTTATGCAGTTTAATGCAATGGTGCAGCTTTTTGGACAAAGCCGGGCGGCTGCACACATCAGGTTTTTGGAAAAGCTTCCGGAGTCGCTTCAAAACGTGGCTGGCATCAACAACGATGTGCGGCCCCGACAGATTGAAGACAATACTGCCCACCACTGCAACCTCACCATCACACTCGACCACGGCAGCAACGGCTCCTGCACACCTACGCTTCCTATCGTCAGAATCGCACCTTTTGGCAGCTTGATTGGCAAAGCGCCAAGCAAAATGCCGGTGCATTCAGCTTTTTTCTTGCTCAACAGGGCGGAACAAGTCCAAAGTGCCAAAAGCACCACTGATAAGGTTGGGTGCAATGCAGAGTGCACTCAGGTTTAGTATTCCCAACGTCTGAAAGTAGGCAAGGACAATCCGACAACCAACGATGCAACAAGTCATTCGCCGATGTTTTTCTGGAGTCGGGCTCGATATCTGGAAACAACAGCACAATTAAAGCCCAGCCCTAAGCCAGGTGCGCTAAAAGCCGGAGCGACAGCATGATGCTGTTGGCGCTCGGTTGTTCCTGGCACATGCAGCAGATTCGATATGGGTCCTCCAAGAACATTGCGCCAAACATCAAACTTTTTAACATGCCCAATACGAATCCAAAAAGGTGGCGATCATTGCTCGGACTCCTGCTGATACAAAGGCAGACCGTGGTCTTGTGAGAACCCAATAATTGCGGCAATCTCATTGGTTCAAAGAGCAACAACGCAAGTTGTTGTGGTCCAAGTCGAATCATGATCATAGCTTCGCTTGTGGACACCTCGTTCCCAGGAGCAAGCAAGGAGGCTGAAGCTCGTCAGCTGTTCTCTAGAAGCGGCCAGTCACCGACGTGGACATGAAAGCCCAGCACAACCTTCAGGCGTTCTTGTGTGGGCCGCTGGCGGCCCACGAGGCTTATTGCAAGAGGACTCGCCGACACCGATCACATCAGTGCGAAGCATGATCGCAAGCCTGGTTCTGTCGCAAGCATGGCCATAGGCTGAGTTTGTGGCAATGATCCAAGGCTCCAAGGCTTGTGGAGCTCCTTGGTTTCGAGAGGAGAAAGGTGGCCGAGTGTGGAGAAGCACTGGGGAAGTGTGGCGTGAGAGACCGGACATGCCGGACATCTGAGAAGAAAAGGGCGTCGGTTCAGGGTTTTGTGCGGATCCTGCGCAACAGGAGCCCAGGATGAACGTGGATCGATGTAAGTTGTTGAGACAGATGTTCCACACGTAATGAATTGCATTGCAGACTGCAGCTGGCAAAGAAAACATGAGCTATGAGCAGTTGTTGACGGCTGCATCCAGCACAGTCCCCGCTGATACAGAGAAAGACCGAGAAAGAGTCAGAATACGATAAGAAGGCACAGGAAATCACAGGAATACGAAGCCGTTCATGCTTTGGGTGAGGGGGGCGTTGTCCGGCCCTCCGCTCCCCTCCGGGTCGCTCGGGGCCGAGGCCGAAGCCTTTCACCGTCGTCTTCGACACAGGAAGCGGGCACTTGATACTACCAAGCTCGTGCGCGACACGACGACCTGCGGCATTTTTGCGTTTGTCTCGTTCCATTGGCTGGCCCCTCGCAAAAGGTATTGCCACACTGCCACCTGCAAAGTACATCGGAGGCAAGGTTTTGAGGGTACGGAGCACGGATTTTGCCAGGGCCGATGTAACCTCCAGGTACAGGCGCAGCTCCTCAAGTACCGCACGAGACATTGACTGGGATGGCCGCGTGGTGTCAGCCTTTCGACCTCTGCCGGTCGAAGCATGGTAGCCCCCCGAGATGGTGAGGTCAAATCTGGCGAAGCTCGTGACCAGATCACCGCAGAGCTCTTAATTGCCACTGCAGTGTGGATGTAGGAATGTAGGTTCTTCATACTCCCGAGACCCGTGACTCGCCTTCGCAGGTGTCTTTCGGCACAGGTGAGGTGACTGGTGTGTTCATGGAGGTCAGTTCTCACGCTCAGCACTCATGCAGCGGTTTGTTACGAGTGCACGCCTCATGGCCAGGATGACCTATGCTTCGGGCAGCGCGGTCCGGGCATCGATAAGAGCAGCGCAAACGTGCCTGTTTCAGGCATGGGCTCAGCTGTGGTGCGATGTGCAGTATTGGGTCTTACGGTCGTGCAGGACAAGGCGGCGAAAGCTGTGTCAGCATGCGTTTCATTGCAGCAACTGCATCTCGGCCGCAGAAGGCAAGCTGCTTGAAAGGAGTTCCACAGTTTTCCATGCTTTCAATGCCGCGCCGGATGGAATACATGTCCATTTATGGTTTCCGTGACTGCAACAGATGGTAGTGACTCGAATGCAAGAACTGCTTGTTGTCGGTTGTGTGACGACGCGAAGGCCAATTGCAAAAAATTGAGTTGAACCCAAGCGCAATTTTTTCAGCAGAGGCTGCAAACAAAGTCTTGTCGAGCCTGCTGGTCAATAGCAGGATCTTCCATGGCTTCATGGAATCAACGCCATCATAAGACAGGATCGCCGTCAGACCAGTCAAGACAGAAACATCCTAGTCCTAATCCCAGCAATCTCCATTTTGCATCGGCCTGTCGTGCTGCCTGCGGCCTGTTCCTGTTGGCTGTGCATGAGATACTGCCGAGGACATGTCCGCAGATCCTTTCAAGGTGGCAGCAGTCATGTGAAATGTGCTGTTCACAGGTTTTTGACGGCTCCGCTTCTCGCAGGATTTTGTCTTCGACGGTGTCCTCGGTCTGGGGTTGGAAAGCCTGTCGCAGACATCGGCTTTCAATTTCCTGCAGGTTCCAATCGAATCAATGAGGGCCAGCGGGGGCATTCCAGTGATCTTTCCTTTCAGGTTGCCTCTGGCCTGACAAGTGCGCTTGGAACCGAGCAGACCGGAGTTGGAGAGGTCTGCGGGGTGTTGAGTCACGTGCACAAGACACTAAGTCGCGGGAGTGACTTCAGCAAAACCTTTGGCATCTTCCTGGCGACTCACAACGAGGAGGACGGGAAGCAGAAAGGAGTTCAGAAACTGCTTCCTAACATCCTTTTCATGTCAGCGACGTGTAAGATCACTACCCCTTGCTCAGCTGGCATGACAGACTAGCCAAATTACGATGGGTGGCTGGGCTGAAGAGCACTTGCAAGAAGAGGCGGGATTGGAGTGCAGCCCAGTTTTTCGTTCTTTGACAGAGAGCTCTAGGTGAGCTGGAGTCCTGTGCTTGACCCGGAATTGGGCCACTGGCTCCTGAAGATCCAGGCTGGAGCTGATGCAACGAATGCAACGAATGGTGCGATACCAACTGCACGATTGTCTCGTCAAGGCGATCTGGATTGACGGTGAGAAGCTGCCTTTTTGCGATGAGGGCTGCAAGGTGCCTGTTGCTGTTGGTGGATGCAGCAGCTCGTTGCTGGCTCCAAAAAGGCCGTGGTGGACTCTGGCACGTCACTCCTTGCAGTTCCGACTCCAATTTTTCCGGAGCTGTATGAACGACTGAGGCACGGGATGGCACGAGGAATCCCCATGCAAACAAAGCCCTCCTGTTCGCAAGGGCGCCGGCATCTTTGTCGGGTGACTGCTCGTCGCAATCAGCTCAGCATTTTTTTGAGAAGCTCATTCGGCCGACATGCAAGCTTAAGTAGCAGGAAGACCGGCATTGCTTAGGCAGAGTCCCAGTCTCAAGATAGAGCTGAATGGCTTCACGCTGACCTTGGACGGGGAGGCTGTGTGCTTCCAGTTGATATGTGCGAGCTGCCGATAGTGGCGGACAGGATTTCAGCCGGCTCGACCAAAAGGGAAGCGCGCGTGCACCAGCATGGGGCCAGTCGCAGACACCTGCAGAGGTCAGTTGGGTTGAAACTGGCTTCGCACAATTCCTGGATATTCCTGGATTCAGCAGGGCGCGACGCGACGGGACATGATGTGCAAGCCGATGCTGATGGTGATGGATCTGTCTGTCGCCAATCTGCTCTCCCTGCGTGTGTGCTTTTCTTCCCTTCGGGCAGGGCTTGGGCCGAGGCCAGAGCCCATAGGGCCGAAGCTCTTCATCCTCGGCGAGCCGGTGCTGAAGACCGCCTGCGGTGCATTGCGGCGCTGCATGCCGGCGCTTCCGGCTCCGCGCAGGAAGTTCTACACGGTCTACGACGCGGAGAAGAAGCGCCGCTGGCCCAAGTGTCCCCATGGCTACAAAGTCACCCAGGAGGGCGAGTGACTTGAGGCATTGGCTTTGGCCGAGCAAGACATGCTGTACCGTCTCCTGAGATTGAAAGCGACAGCTGGTGGAACGCCGCGGACAGCGAGAGTGTCTAGAGTCTCTCTGTGTGGCCAGCACTGGACTCATCTGGACTCGCAGGAAGAGGAGCTCTCCTCCGAGGCTCCATGTCGGAACTTGTCCGAGTGTCTGGCCCGGCATGTGTCGCAGGAGGTGGGTTCTTCTGGTGCATGAGAAAGAACCTTCGAGGTTCGCTGTTGCATCCTGGATTTTTGTTTGCCCTTGGCATTGCCTGGCTTTGAGAAGCATGTGGATGCAGTGTGTTGGGATCACCAGCCGCACCAGCCCTCACCGAAAGGTTCTGCCCCAGTGGCTGCAAGCTTGATTTGCTCTGATATCTGATGTCAGGTCAGCTTCCACTTTGTCGACCTCAGCGAGTGAGGGCGTTTTTTCTGATGAAGATTCTGAGCAATGTTTAAGAATTTAAGAGAAGGCACTCGCATCACTCCGCAATTGCATTTGGCACAGCTCGAACCGGAAGAAGACATCATCCCCAACGTGTCATCCGTACATGTGCATGCAAGTTGGGATTGTATGTTTCACCAGACCGGCTGAGGCAACGAGATTGTGACGACGGCATGCGACGGATTTCTGACAACTCGTGGACTCTCTCAAGCTTGGCAAAGAGCAAGCATTCTGCTGCAACGCTGTGGTTCAAGTCCATTCGACATGAGTGTCTTGCACTGTGCAAAGCTGCAGAGGCTGGGCTGATTTTCCAGATTCCAGGTGCTTTCTTCGGAGCTTACTGATTGCAGGCAGCTTCGGCGTCCAGCCTTCCGAAAGCTCAGATGTCATGGCAGAGACAGGTCGGATCCCAAGAGAGAGCTCCCGGCATCCGGATCCTATCCTTGCAGCATGGGGTGGGGCGTCAAACTGTCAAGGAAAGGCTTTCCAAGGGTCCATCGCGAGCCCCTATTCGATGACAAAACGGTCAACCTGTTTCCACTCATGGCTGCCACTGGCCCAGGCACAAAGCGCCGAAACAGAACGAACAATCCTTTCTCGCGCAATGCATCAGCTGCTGCTGCCTTGCCCCTCTCCCCTATCCCCTCTCCCTCTTCGCCCCGGACACCCCCCCTCCACAGGCTTCATTCAGGCCCCCCTCGCTGAAACCAACGTTTAGGGTTTAAGGGTTTCGGGTTTAGGTATTAGGGTTTTAGGTTCAAAGGAGGCCCCGGCGGGTTTTGGGGGTTTTTGCTGAAGGTCTGGACCCTTGCCCCCATTATCTGCTCTACACTTATTGAACTTATTGGCCTTAAAAGATTCGACTGTCCCAATAAGCTTTGGGGGCTTGATGCATTTGCGCATCATGCGTCTGCATTCTCGACTTCCTTTCCACGTAGGCTCCACCTTCTGATGGCTCTTTGCCGCAACTTGCGCCATTGGCTTCTTATGAATCTCACCGCGCTGCCTTGGTGCTGTGCACACAGCATCATTCGATGTTCCGAGAAAAACCTGAAAGCTTTCGCTCACGTCCGCAAACTTTATTGGTTCAACCGGTATTTGCGCCGATGAAGGCTGCAGCATCGAATCTGTCAGAAGCCCGAAGCAGTGTGTGTGCATGTGCGCTTCCGAGGCCTGCAATCGGTGCTCCCGATACCAGGGCAGCCGGAGAACAGCGGACGTCCTTTGCCTCAGCTGACCGAACGCCAAGAGCATCAAAGCGTTATGCGGGGACGGGGAGTCTCTTGCCGGTCGCCAGGTTCAGATAACCAGTGGGGGGTGTCCTTCAGCCGACGGTCGGCATCCTTTAGCTCTGGAAGCTCGAGCTCAAGCGAAGGAGCCTATGACGTATGAACTCATTATAACTCTGAATATCTTAGGGTTCCTGTTTCTGTGTTCAGACGTGAACGTCCGAGAGGCAGCGATGAGGACCGAAAGGATGACGACCACGTCCGAGACGCGGGACTTTCATTCAACTGCCCTCGTGCAATTAAGAGCTCCGAGGCTCATCAGCGGAATACACCTGGTAGAAGGAGGCTTTCCCTGGCGGTGCTCCCGGCGGAGCATTGACATTCCTGTCGTGTTGAAATTGTGCTCGAAGTTTCTCTGAGCCTTGATTTTCCAGCTCTCGACAGGAACAAGCCAATTTTGCAATGCAAGTTCAAGGGAAGGCGGAAGCAGAAGAGGATGTGGAACGACAGCAGAAAGACCCTGGATGCCTCAGGAAGGCACACTGCAGTGAAGTCATTGCTGGCAGTGTGGCAGTGTGCAAGATGATCCTTTCGGTGCATGTGAGACGGAGGTCTGCAGCCTTGCCACGCGGAAACGGCTTCTCAAGGTCGTGAAGTGTCCAGTTGGATCGAAGCATCTTCAGATCCATGTGCTGACCACCCCCTGAGGTTGTTCGCAGTCGTCCTTTTCTGCTCTCGATTGCCTTCATCATCACAAGCAATGCTGTCGGCGGCTTGATGTTTCGATCACCCAAGAAACGAAACAGCTCGGGTAATTACGGCACTCAAATGCATATGGGTCACATTAACATGAGGTCTACATGGGCATAGAGGTGGATGCCAACCAGGGCGGTGAGCGTGGCATGTGGGCAGCTTTTGAGGTGCATCTTCTGCTTGTTTATCAAACTGTATCCATATCCACCATGGCGACATGAGATGAAACGAGTGCACTTTGTTTGCGACATCAGATACTCTTTTCCGTGTTGTTCGCGATCGAATTGGTTCTCCGCTTCATTGCTGGAACCTCAGTGTGTCTAGCTAGACGCCCGGGCCTGCGCAATGCAGTGCCTCGATTGACAGCATGGTGACGTTGCTCCCTGAGGCAACCATACCTGTGATGTACTTTTTCTACAGCGGGTGGAGCCTCCGGCTGGTGTTGAGCATAAGCGCATTCGCCTGCAGGCCGTGGTGTGTGCAGGGTTTTTGTCCCTGTTGGACAGGAATCTGTTTGACTTGCTGATTGTTGCAGCCTCCATTGTCTGCAACTGAAGTCTCCGGATCGGATGACAGCTCATTGCTGCAAGTGATTGCTCATGGTGGCACGCAAGGTTGACAACATATTGACGTTTGCATTGAGGCGGACTCCTTCCCTGCGGAGGTTTCTCTTCTTGTCATTGTGTCTCTGCAGGAACACAAGCGACCTGAGCAGATTTTCGGTGTTGCGCCTCCTGCGCCTCATCAGAGTAATTCGAGTGTTCAGGCTTGGAGCTTGGGCGGCACTCGTGTCCTTGATGCTTTGTGTAGCTACGTCGAAACGAGACTGCCATGTTCAGGCTTCTTCGCATCCTGGACGGTTTGTGGAAGTTGGTGAAAGGTATTCTGAATGCAGCCTGGACTCTGTTTTGGACGCAGTGGCCTAAGCATGTGCTGGCATGAAGACTGCAGCATGCAATGAGTGTCATCACAGAGCTGTTTTTGACGAGGATGGTTTTGCTGGCAACCGTGATCTACATTTTCAGCATTGTTTCTACTCGTCTTATTGGGCATATGCACTTGGGTGATGCCGTCTCGTTTTTTAGCAGCCACGAAGCATCGCATCATGGGTTCTGGATTGCCAGGCGATCCGTTCTTCGACGAATACTTTGGTTTCGTTGGGAGGTCCCGGGGCGGCTCCAAAATCCCAAAAAATTGGGGAGCTGATGGGTCTCAGACGTCTCTGCAAATTTTCGCCCGTGAAGGAGCATGTTGACGCTCTTCCAAGCAACAACGACCGAAGGATGGGCAGACATAGCGAGACAGGCGATGAAGGGGTGTAATGGTCCAGTCCAGTTCAAGTCTCAAAACGTGTAATGCTCTCATTCCTCGAGGTAATGGACAAGCAGCCTTGGTTCTCTCTCTTTTTTATCCTCTACCTGCATGCAGCGGCCCTTGTCACACAATGGAATTGAATTGTAGATAGAATATGCCTGCAGCCAGCTTAGGTAACGACTTTTGCCATTCTAAACGTCATGGTCGCTGTCATTGTCGAGAGCACGCTGGACGAGGTTCTGTGCAGTCCTTTTTTTTGATCCACCTGCAAGCTGTTCATTGATCCAGGCGGATCAGAGCAAGCTCAAGTCTGCCGAGAAACGGTGTGGCACTCATGGAGAGCGTGAGTGCTGGCATCCCTCTAGTTCCACCCCTTACAGGCTGGAAGATCTCCGCCGTGCTTATGACAAGATCTACAAGGTTTCTCGTTAGCGTGGCATCCCAGCTGGTCAAGAAGTCGGACTCACGCACCTCCAGGTCTTTCAGGACGGTGACTGCAACCAGGATGGAGCTGCAACCCTACTAATGTCACCGGTGCAGTTTGTCGTTGGAAAAGGGTGAGAAGCCAGCCGGTCTTGTCTGCAGGTCCTTACCCGAGAGGAATTTCGAGAACAAATCAGGCAACCCAAAGTGGCTAGGCAAGGGACTCGGGAACGTGTCAGATTGGCTGAGCATGACTTCGCGTTCTTGCTGACCTATGAGTCAGACCGAGGTATTTCGAGGAGATAGGGATTGACCCTAATGAAGCGGAGTATCTTTTCACGTCCGGATCTTGGCATGGTTTTGAATGCAACGGCTCGAATTGGCATGATTGCAGTGGGAGCCTTGATCCTGTCCTTGCAGCATTTTGGACTACGACGGCAGTGGCTCTCTCGATGCGGCTGAGTTTGTTGGAGGTCTCCTCAAGGCCAGCACCGGTCGTCATGTTTCGGCGGGACGCAAGCGCTATCTCAGTGGCGTCTTCTCACGGGTTCTTCGGGTATCAAGATATAAGTTCGCTGGCGCACACTCAAGTTACCGCTCGGCTCCAAGAAGGTCGCTTGTGCGTTTTGGTGGTGCGAGTTGCACATGTAGAGCACGATAAGCATGCTTTGAGTGTGGATGCATCTTTTGTAGCTGTCCGAGTTGTTGGGACGCTGTCTACAAGCTTCTTGCTGCGATCAAACAAGCAAAGACTCCTGAGATCAGCCCAAATCAGAACAACAACCAACCAAAACTGAAAATCATGGCTTTTGCTGTAAGTGCAACAGCAGCAAAAAACGTGCTTTCAGCTTTCTCCTCAGCGTTTGCAACTACTGCGCACAAGCAGGGGTTATGCTGCAATTACGAAAACTGCAAGCATGCAAATGCAAACTGCATTCCAAAGTCAGCAAACTTGCGGGCCGTTCAAGTCGTCCGAGGTTCGTGTATCATCAGGGTACCTGCAAGTTCAGCGTCCATCAAGATTCCGCACGAGTTCGTCAGAATGCCTTTGTAGGTTGACACCCAACAAGGGTCTGGAGTTTCTAGGGTGATCTTGGGCTTCCGCATCGAGTCTGGTTGCAGGGTTCAATATCATCACTGCCCAAGAACTTGGAAGACAAGTATCTCGCTGCATTCCCAAGTATAGTCGTCAGCATCACTCTCTGAGTTCCTGTGCCTGTGTCAGGTGATCGGCAGTGCGAAAGCAAAAGACATCATGGCAGTGCATTGCGAGTTGCGCCGCTCAGAAAAAGAGGTGCTGAGCCTAATTTGCTGCAAGTAGTGGCTGCCGATCAGATGTTGGATTTTCTCCAGGGTCGCCAGCAGATATCGGTCATGGAACAGCGCATCGGCCGGCAGTTGGACGTTGTGGAGACAGGCCGCCTTGTGCATTTTAGACCCTGTGGTGTTTTGTCTTCTGTGTGCAGCCTGTGAGGCGTGCAGTCGCTCAGGCAAGAGGTGCATTCTCTTGCGTCAGCTATTGGCGTAACATTGAGTTCATGTGGGAAGCTTAATGAAGCTTACATGGCTTGCATGGTTCATGATAGGCTTCAGCCAAGGCGGATCCCACCAGAAAGTGTAGGCAACAGTTATCATAAGTTGCTCAGAAATTTCTCGACTCGAAAATGTTACCTGATAGAATCAGATTGTCCGTGGCCCAGTCGGACATCTGTCTTCCCGGGGCTTCCACGGAATTGCCGGGGTTTGTGTCTGCGAGAGATGCAACATCGCAAGATGTCAGAAAGTCTTCAACGTCGAACAGATGTGACCAAGGCACGATGACATGAAGCAGCAGCTCACCCTGAACCTTGAAGCGGTGCAGCCCCGGGCTTCAGCGGAGGCTTGCTGCATAAGTGCTTGGACAAAGTGTCGGAAGGATCTTTTGCCGAAAGCTATTGTTCTCACTGGTTCCATGCAAGCAGAGTCCGAAACTAGCAATCCTGCTGACAGTGTAGCGCTCGTCTGCTAGCCCGCGTAAAGACTCGTAGCCCCAATCTGTCAGTGCTTGACAATTTCCGCTGTGGCTCTGCTTGGGTAGTTGGTTGAGGACTGTTTAAAACAGTTCCAACACAGAAGCCCATCATGTCTGTTGTCCACGTACCACTGCTAGTCCCACAAGTGTGTGCAAGTATTTGCAAGTATGGTGGAGAGCTCTGGAAGTAAATTTGCAGTCTCAGAATTCAGCCTTCGCGCGTGGTTTACCAGAGGTTGTCAAGCAAGTCTGGGCCACGTCGTGAGCAGGCTGGTTTTTACGACAGCCGCGAATTTGGCGAAGTTCGAAAACTTGAGATTCTGAGATGCTCCGCAGGACCGCAGGTACATACATCAAGAAGTCAGCACAAACGAAAGGATGACAAAGTTGTAGAGAGCATGGGCTCGGTCGGGACCGCGATTGCCTTTTCTCCCGGACCGTGCAGCATGCTGAAAGTCAGATTGTCGGTTGAAGCACTCAAACTAGTTTCCGGTTTTGACCTACCGGTGTGTCTACATACATGACGGCCTCGAGATAAGTCGTTAGGGTCATGCCAATCCTGCTGTGCAACATGAATGCGACACTAGTTCAACAAAATGTGGAAGGCTTTGAAACTCTGAAGTGCTTAAATCTTGTTGGAGACAACCTGAGTCTGGAGGCAGCACTGGAGCAGCTTGTCTTTTGCTTTGAATCGCTTTGCGAAGCTGAGGTGTGACTGTGGAATGTGTGGTGGTTGCAGAACGTGGTGGATCAGGGCAGGGAGGAGTGTTGCAAGGCACCACTTGGGAGGTTTCGGCGGGACAAGGGTGTGGCTTCGGGATTGGAGGCTGCTCGAATGCGCTGCCTACCAGCCCTGAAGAAGAACCACAAATGGGAAGAGTTCATGCTTGGGGGATGGTTGAGGCCACCAGCGGAGGCTACGGGCCTGAGGCTGCAAAGATCCCCTAAGCAGGTTTGTCTCGTCTGTGCATGCGCAGGCACAAGATTGACGCTCTAAGCATCTTCGACGCATGCAGCTGAATTTGCGTCATCTCAGCCAGTACTAGCCTGGTGCCAAAACAATACTGGTGCCACACCACGTGCATCGATGACTTTTGCCAGCACATGTGACATCCTCCTCAGCCGTTTGAGCTTCTTAACAGCAGATCGGAGTTGCTGCATGACATGGTGCACATGGAACGAGATTTCTCCTTCAGTTAGCTTCGGTCAGTTAGCGTGAGCCAAAGGATGTCAAGACCCGCAATGCAAGCAATAGCCAGACACTCCTGCCCTTTGCCAGACCCTTCTGGTAACGATGGGGTTCTTGTAAGCTTGAAGCTTGAGCAGAGTCGATCAACTTGAGCTATTGTTCACGGAGGCCCGACATGAGATTGCTGCTTTGACTTGGGGTGGGTTTCCAGTGATGCAGTCATGCTGAAAGGCCATGCTGCACAGCCGGATGATGTCAAGGCGCTGGGCTCATGGGCTCGGCTTTTTGAGTGTGGAAATTCTGACTCCGTTCTTCTTTAGGCCACTTCGGGCACTGGGCTCGCTGGGACGTGGCCGCCGTGGCCTGTCGCAAGAGCCCAGCCTGGCAGCAGCGGCTGCCTACCAGCAGCCCCCAACAAAGGTCCGGGGCCCCCCCCCGTCCCTACGCTTCGCACCCCGTTCTGCAGGTGACGACGCTTCCGAGTGGCATGAGAGTCGCATCGCAATACACGCCCGATGAGAGCCTGGCTTGCTTAACCTTGCCCTCTACTGAAAGCAAAACAGACGGAGATAATGTGCCTGTGCCAGGAGACTGTCACAGTCGGCGTCTGGATCGATGCAGGCAGCCGCTTCGAGACCAAGGACCCTGCAATCTATCAACATCGTGCAGGCATAACAGCCGGCTGGCCTTAGACACCTCCTTGCAGGAGAACAATGGCACTGCTCACTTTCTAGAGCACATGGCCTTCAAAGGCACAAAGCGGAGAAACCGAATTCAACTGGAGCAGGACTGTAGTATTCACCAAAGCTGCTGGCGAGCGTGGTTCGCCGCAGGAGATCGAAAACATGGGGGGGCACCTGAATGCGTACACCTCCCGAGAGCAGACGGTGCGCGGCCCCGCGAGCCCCGGGATTGCCTGGAAGCGAGCGGCCCTGAGGTGTACTATGCCAAGTGCTTCAAGACCGACCTGCGCAATGGCCGGGGTGTCGGTGCAAACAGGGCAGAGAGAGAGAGAGCCTAAGAGGACGCGGAGACGCGGCCAGTCGTTCAGTTTGGGGGTGGGCTGACGCAGCAGCGAATACCGCTCAAAAGACCCCAAAGCCTCAAACAAGATAGGGAAGGGGGGGCCCTCGGCGCGGGTCTGCATGCGTAGACCTGTACCCGCGGGAAGGAAGGAAGAGGAGAGCCTCCAGCCCCGAAAGAGATCCCAACGAACTCAGCCTTCAGTATTGGGCCTTGAGGCCAAAGGCTGCTCAGTGCCCCAGGCCCCGACGTTGACGTCCAGGTGTGGACATCCTCGCAGACATCCTGCAGCATTCCACGCTGGACCAGCCGAGTGCTCGGCAACTGTCCAAGCTCCTCCTTAGTCCCAGTGCTTCAAAGTTTTCATCAGGGCACATTTGGAGTTCGAACGGGGCGTCATCCTTCGAGAGATGGAAGAAGTGGAGAAAACAACCGAGGAGGCCGAGCGTTTCAATGTCAGTCGTGATGAAGCCGTGTTTGAGCAAGGTCATTTTTGACCGTCTGCATCTCGCAGCCTTCCACGACAGCCCGCCTGAGTCCTTGAAAGGTGTGCAGGTTGGCTTCATGCGTGCTCGTTCTGGTTTCTGGGGTCGCATTGAGGCTGGGCTACACAATCCTGGGACCTGTTGAGAACATCCAGCCCAGCCGCAAGAAGGAAGCCGTGCGTGACACAGCCCAAAGCCTCGTCCCGCTGAAGGTCGATAACCCGAGAGCAGCTGCGAACATACGTTGAGTCGAACTACCTTGCAGATCGAATCGTCCGGGTCTCAGTTTTTGGCCAGAGCTTCCAGAGTGCTTCTTCGAAGTTCGCCAAGTCGCAAGAGCAGAGATTCAGGGAGCCTCCAGGCGCGGCCATGTCGGGATGGAGCCGTCCTGTTCGAAAAGGGGTTGGTCACGGTCACAGGAGCCCTCCTCGTCTCGCAGGTCACGAGAATCTGAACATTCATGAGCTGATGCTGATGTCTAGCCGGCATCAAGTGAACGGACAGGCAAAAATCCTGAAGGAGTGACATCGGAAAGCAAGAGTGACGTAAGCCAAAGCTAGAACGTGTCACGGCTGCAGGAAGAAAAGGAGCATCGGCCACTGAACATAAAGAGTCGGTGCCAGACTCGCGATGATGACCGACAAAGTTCTCACGAGAGGTCAAAACGCCCGTGTAGGAGCCCGAAGGCTGGAAGGAAGTGCTCAAAGATGGCAAGCCTTTCCAGACGGAAGGCCCTGCACCCCGAAACAGAACATTGCACCCTGAGATGGCAACATGTGGGAACACAGTCAAGACTGGAACCATGACTTGTTCAAGCGTCGTTCACCACTTGTCTCGTGCATCGCGATTCGGACGAGAGACGTATGGAGCGGAAGGTCGTTGCAGCTGCTGGACCTGTAGACCATGGCGAGCTTGTGCGCCACTCCGAAGAACTCTTCTGTCTTGACCTCTGCCCGCTGGACTCTGCAGAGTTTTGTGAGACACTTCAACTTCCTAAGACTGATCAAGGCCATTTTCGACCAAGCAACGGCCAGCAGCGGAGAGAGGCGCCATTTGTTTTCAAGACCTGAGGTTTCGAGGAAATATACTCTCGGTCCTGCTTCCAGCAATACTCACATTCAGGAAAAGTTCAGCCCCAGAGGAACAGATTTTCGGAGAGTGGAAAGTGAACACATGCATCTGTTAGCAAGACTTTCGGACGGCAGTGAACCCGACAGGGAAAGGCAGCCTTCTATGGCGCAGAGCTGCTCTACGGGTCAGCAGAGGTGCAAGATGAAGCTTCTGTCAAAATCGGCTGCTGAGCTTGCAAGGAGAGCTTGGCTCATTTTGCCATTGGATATGAAGGAGGCTGCTGCCCGAGCCGTGTTGCTGTTGCGGTTTGGTTTTGAGATGGGCAGCACCTGAGTTCCTTGGACTCACCCGGACTCGCTGACATTCATGGTGGCTAAGCAGCAAGGAGACAGTAGACAAGCAGGTTTCAATGCAGTCGCAAAGCTGCAGTGTATAAGGTCCTACAGACCATCATCGGGAATTACAAGCGGAATGAAGGCAGCACTGGTGAGCGACCCTCCCGGAAGCTGGTCTGAAAGTCTGTGCGTCACAGGGCTCGTGCCTGCGAGACTTTCCAGCAATCGGTTGCGACCTTTGGGTGCTTTCTTTTGGGAGCGACCATGACGAAGAGCTGTGTCTTGGCGAGGCTCACGAACAGCGTGGCCAACCACCTCGGTCCAGGCACCAAGCCATCTTTTGCTCGACAGCAGGGGAACGGCTATCAATGACTGACTCCGGGTCTCTGCATGTTTCTGGCACTTTCCAGCCTGCCAAAGTGCACAACTTGGCGGGTGTTTTACTGTGCTGGTGAACCGATGTGTGACCTGTCCTGATGGAGCCCCCAGGCCCCACTCTCCCGCATGAGAGAACGCTGTGAACATGAGCAAATCCCGCACGAGACGTGACTTCGAGTCACATGGTGTGCTTCACTTTTTCAAGCCATGACTTCCCTGTCTGTCGCACCCTCATGCGGCGGCAAAGACTCCTTTGTACCCTGTGGTCTCATACTTATCCAGTGGTTGGGAGGGCGGCTCTGCAAGGTAGCTTGCTGCGCCGGTGACACCAAAGCCTCATTGGTGTGCTGCAGGCAGCAGGGTGCAAGATATGACTCGTGCAGGTGCAGAATCATTTGCCGCTTTCAACACTTGCTACAAGGCGGGAGCCTGAGAGTAGAATCCCAGCATTTGCTGGACATCTTGCGTCTGATGGTATCCGTTTAAACCCTACCAAGATGCGCCTGCAAAGCTGCGACAGCAGCAAAGATCTGAGAACCCAGCTCAAGATGCTGCTGTGTTGCTGAGGATACAGGAATCTTCGGTGTTTATGGTGAGAGCGATGAAGCAACGCTGGATGGATACTTGGATGAGCTGCTCTTTGCGGCCTGCGCCTCAGAATCGAGAAATTCTTCATGGAGGGCACAAGCCAAAGCCCAAGATCAGCAACCTCGCATTCTCGGTCACGGAGGAGGAGGCACTCAGCTGAGCCTCTGCGAAGTGCGTGAGACTCAGGCTAAGGAGACCTGTTCGCAAGCCGGAGGTTGAGCGAGGGAAGAGGCAGCTGAAGACCACCCTTTTCGGCAGTTTAGATTCCACGACTGCTATCGCAGAGGCTCTGGGCACTTCATGTCATTCGCCATCAATCGTTCTACGTGTCTACGCTTTCCGCAGGACATCGGCCGACAGCTTCTGGTGTATGGTCGACGTGCTGCTGTCGTGTTTATGTTTATACAACGCACAAGCATGCGAATATTTTAGTCATAGCCTCTGCTTTGCGTCAGACATGTCGAGACATACTGTTCGGTGACTCAGTTCGTGCACGAGCGGCGCTATTCTGTGACGGTACTCACCTTTGCTTTTCCCCACCAATGGCAAACTGTCATTGTATCTTTGCCGCTTGATCTCCGTTGACCCGTGATGCAGTACTCCGTCCTTCCGGTTAGCCCTGAAGCGTCAACTTACCTGATCTTATCTGTTGTTGCCTGACCTGTCAAGGCGCGGCAGACTTTCATTTCATGACTGTGCATTGATCAATACTAGCCGCACGGTTTCATGTTCCCTTTCCTGGCAGGTGTTCCGCTAACCGAGCTCCTGTTGCGCCTAGAGGCCATCAACACTCAAGAGGCCTGATTCTCGTCTGTCTCGCTGGTTTGGAAATGCCTTCTTCGCCGGAAATGCGACGCCAGACATCAGGTGCAGCGTGTTGCCAGAGAGACGCGACCTCGGTGTAAGTTTCTGTTTGGATTTCGATGTTCCGCTTGCAAATCAGCATGACTACTGAATCCCAAGACTGCGCTAGGGCCGCTAGGATCTAGCTGCAAGTTCGTCAAGGCTCCTTGACTCAAATCGCTGTGCAAAGGAGACTGTTCGACAAGGACGTTGCCGTTGGAAGCTGATGATCATGTTTGCTTAGAGAAGCGACGTCCATGTCGTGCTGCTTCAGCTGCTTCAGATAAGTCACTTTTGATCGAAGAGGGTTGCGACGAGCTGAGAGCTGAGGTCACAGCTCTCGGTCCTCTGAGCCGGATGCCGGCCTTATCCGAGCTGAGGCGGCGGACCGCTGCGAGGAGGCGTGGCTGGAAGTTTGCACGTGCGGCCTTGGAGCTCGCCTCGCCTGTCCAGGCTCTGACCACTCTGAATGCCGTGTCCTCCTGAACTCCGTGCGCCAAAACGACAGCACGAGTTCAGTTCCGCAGGATTTTTCGCGGGGTTCGCGGATGGAGTTGGACGCCAGTCCAAGTTGCAGACCTCGACGCCCGGAAATGAAGCCTGCACACCTCCCGGACTTGTGTGTTTGTGCTTCCTACATGCAAAAAAGCTGCGGGCTTCCATGTTCGGATCAAGTCGCACAGCTGGAACCCATCAGATCCATTGTCCAAACCCCACACCGGCCCACACCTGTGCAGACTTCAGAAGAATCGGAGACTCGTCACTCGAATCGGAGACTTGCAGGTCGGCCGACATGTTTGCCATGCCCAGCGAGAGCGCCCTTGCGGGTTCGGGCCGAGCCGACGCAGACGTCGTAGCCTCAAAGGAGGCGATGGGAAATCCAAGCTTGAGACATGAGCGGAAATCCCGAGCCGACGCATCGCGATCTTCCCTGCGATTTGCAACCGAAAGGTAGCGCCGTGGCGACGCAAGGAGGGCGAAGTGTTGTTTGCGGGATGCTCAGCAGAGAGATGCTAAGTGGTTTGGAGCACTTTGCGAGTGGTTTGCAGGAGATGCTCGACAGGGACAAAGATGGCTACCTTACTCGGAAGGAGGTGGTCCTGCGCCGTTCACAAACTTGCTGTTGCACCAGTTCGTCGATCAGGCACGAAACTGGCTTCGCAGCTGGAGCCCTGTTGTGCAAGCACTGCTCAGGTTTCGAAAGCAGGTTGGCTGAAGCTTTAAGCCACATGACCTGGGTGATCTCCTGCTGTTGCTGGGCTCAGAAACTGACGGTGCTCGCATACATGATGCAAGCTTGCAAGGAGTTGACCTGACACCTAGATGTTATACTTGCACAGACGACCACGGCCTCTCGTTAGTTTGTGTACAGACTGAATTCGATGTGCAAAGATCGGCGTCCTTGGTGTGGCTAGCCTTACCTTGTGCCGAGCCATCGAGTGGTGTCATTGACATGCCACGAACGCTCCACCGCAACAGGAGGTTCTGCCTGCTTTGGATATCGGTTGCATCTGCTGCATCTGCTCTGCAGATCGCATGGAGGCATCGTTGGATTGCTTATCGCAGACTGTCCGAACGATGCTCATTGCTACTATTGTACTATTGGCTTTACAGGTTAACTCTTGTCGCCGGGACGGTAGCAGGACACGTAGTCTGATCATCACGAAAGCTCGCGTAGCAGA